CTATTCCTCCAGGTTGTAATAATGTGCTGGACAGTTCTTAACCCAATTTTAGGACTTTCAGCAATCTCCTTTGTTGTTTTCTTTGCTTGATGCAGGCCAATTATTTGACCTTTCTAAAACAGTTACATCTTTTTCACGACCACAGGATATGTTTTCTGACATGGTTGTTTAAGAAATGAGAAGCTACCCACTGCATCAGTTCGGGTTAAATAACTTGCTGCCAGCTTAAACTATTATTATTACTAAACTAATATCACTGCAGTAATTATCTTCCGAGGGGGGCACTTTTCAGCCAAAAAATTGGGCTGAAAATCTCGGCTTATACTCGAGTATATACGGGTATTCTTTTCTGGAATCCAGTTTGGGACGCATGGAGATGTTTCCATGCAACCAGTGGATGACAGTCCCCACAAAGGAGGAGCTGGAAAGACGCACAGCTTTTCTGTGGGGGGTTCAGTCATTTTTGTAATAAAAACACCTACAAGCTAAAAGTTTTTCTTTTTTGTAATAAAAAGGTTCATCATACCACTGACAATCTAATAACTTACTAACGAACCTGGAACTCAGGCTTGCATCAAAGAGTTAGGAAATCCTGTATGACATTTATAATCCGCTATTTCTCCAGCAATTCTTTGTTGTCAACATCACCATGATAAAAATAGGATAGGTTCCTTGGCACCACTTTAGATACATCTGATCATTTCCATGGAGCAGTCAGCAGTCTCTCTGGGGGAAGGAAGCTGCCTCCCATCAAGAAGATACACATCATGGGACACCTAATAGAAAGCTACACCATGCTTATAAACAGGCTTCATTTTTCTATAAACAGTCTGTAATGGCTGCAGAAGCAAGAACCTGCTAGAGTGGTGTTGCAGCATCCATTGTAAGCGATTTCATCAGCATTTGAAATAACGTAAAAACGTTTTCACTTTAAGTGCACAGAGTGTCCATATAGAAACAATTGGAACAGAGTAGTGATCTTGTGAATGAGCAATGTGACAGCCCATCATATAAATGAAACATTTTCAGGGCTATTCACAAAAGGGTGAAGAGTTTGGAGAAGGCAGGAGAATTGAACAATCTAGGACAGTGATGGCGAACCTTTTTGAACCCGAGTGCCCAAACTGCGACGCAAAATCAATGTATTTACCTCAAAGTGCCAGCGCTGAAATTAAGTTTAGTACTGTATTGCAGTTCGGGCACTCGGGTTTAACCGCTTGCTGACCAGGTGTTTAGACCCCCTTCCTGGCCGGGCCATTTTTCAGTGTTCAGCGCTGCGGTACTTTGACTGAAGTTTATTCCGTCATGATATGAATTTTATACCATTTTTTGGGGACAGATAGAGCTTTCTTTTGGTGGTATTTAATCACCACTGCGGGGGTTTTTTGTTTTTTTACATTATGTTATAAAACAACTAGTATTACCCACTTTTTTGGTAAAATATAAAAGACGGGGTCACGTCGGGTAAATAGACACCAAACATGTCAAGCTTAAAAATTGCGCGCACTGGCAAAATCACAAAAAACTAGCATACCCAAAATTGGCCATAGGCGACGCTTTAAAAGCTTTTACAGCTCATCAGTTTAGTATTATCAGCGATTGATAGCCCTAGAACTATTGCTCTCATTCTGGGTTTTATGTCATTTTCAGGCCTAAAATGTGGAATATAACATGGGTGCAAAAAATGAAAAAAGGGCCTCAGTCATGAAGGGGTTAAATTCTTTTTTGTGTCACTTTAAAAAAATTTGGGGAGAAACTTTAATTTTTTTTTCCCACTTTTTAACGGGCATCGCTGCCTCTTTTCAAATAGCGGGGATTTCCCGCTCGCACGCGCCGCGTTGAATAACATTGGCCGGCGACTTCTCGCGATAATGCGCGAAATAGCAGGATTTTACGCCCAGTGTTAATGGGGCCTTAGGCAAAATAGGGAAACACGTATATTCAAACATTTATACACTTAATAAAACACATACACACGTAATGAAACACACACATCACACACTTATTACACACACACAGAACTACTAATAAAAATGAATAAATATAACATTGCCCCCTCTCCTGCTTACCTGTTTTGCAGGGAGGTGGGCTGCATCCCTGGGGTCTCTCATGGGGGGGGCTGTATGGCTGGGGGGGCTATGCAGCTCCCGGGGGGAGGAGTTGTATGGCTCTCAGGATGGGGGGGGCTGTGCGGCTCTCACGGGGGATCAGAATGTCCCGGATCACCTCTGTAGTCGGGCCGATCACAATCAGGCAGCGTCGGTGACCTCTAAACAGGCAGATTAGACAACCTCTTGCAGGGGCCTACCGGGATCCTAGCGAGGAGGAAGCGGCCGTCTAATCTGCCTGTTTAGAGGCCGCCGCCGCCTGATATGTGAGTGGCCCGGATCGGGTACTGAGGCGATCCGGGATGGTCGGATCTATTTCCATTGGTGGTCCCTTAACCTGGGGTCGCGTGCCAGCAGAGAGTGCCCCGCGTGCCATAGGTTCACCACCACTGATCTAGGACAACATAGCGAAACTGGAAAGTGAGCTGAATTGGAGAATTGTTCCAAATCAGCTATGTTGTCCTAGATTGTTCCCTTCTCTAAACTCTTCACCCTTTTGTGAATAACTGTGTTTATCTTCACTGAGCAGTGAAAAAAAAACACCCCTTCTTTCCTTATAGACCAGCGTGTTTTGCCCACTACCTCTGCGAGTACAAACTAGTCGCCAGAAATCAATGACCTCATGATAATAAAAGGTGGGCAGCGCTTGTTTAATAACATACTTTTCATCATTGTGATCCGGTCATCATATATCATTGACCGCCATTCCCAAGACACATATTAGACAGAAAGAACGCAGAGCTAGTGTAATAACTTATTAAATGAGCTCAATGATGCAATAATAAAATATCTGAAGTGATACTTTGTGCATGCTTATGTAAATAAAAAGGTTAAAAAAAAGAACACACAAGATAAATAAAAAACGGACTATATGCAACTAAAAACACATGAAATAAATGTATGTGTGCAGGTGAATAGCAATAGACAAGATCTACTCACCGCACCAGTATAAAACTGCTAAAAGAGATATAATCTAAATCCATATGGATGAGCCTGGATGAAACATTCGCCACTGCCCTGTAATGTCAGAGTGCTACCCCCCTCCCTATACAACGCGTTTCATCATAGGAGACTCTCTGAAGGGATCTAAGATTTTTTTTTATTTTTGTAAACATTGAAACAAAAAGTTGGAACATATGTAATGTAGCCCTATTCTCCTCAGCCTTACCATCGCTGCTCAGCCATTTTCATTCATTGAGTTTCAGTTCTTTCAGGGCTTGTTCACACGAGCAGCCGCCCTCAACTGCATGACTGCCGATGTGCATGTTCCTGGACAGTGCCAATGTGTTCCATGAAGCTGCATTGTACGGCTTTGTCTTTTTTGTTACAACTTTATTGAACTGTCACAAATGACATTTCATTTAGTTCTATGGGCTCGCTGCAGTGCAATGCGGTTGTACTTAAAGGAGAACTATGAGGCGAGTGATTTTCACTCCTCCTCATTAGTTCGAGCTGACGTGTGGCATTGAAACTGTCACACGTCGGCTCTATTGATCGGGAAGTGAGCAAACACTGATATAGTCGCTCGCTCACTTCCCGATTATCTCCCTGCAGAGAGCCGTGACTGTCAGTCACCACTCCCCCACAGGGATCCCCCTCTCCGATCCTCTGGATAGGCAGAGCCAGCTGTCACTCACGCAGCTGTGTGAATCTTGACAGTATAGTCGTGATCCGGCTGCAGCGCTATATACTGAGCTTTGGGTCACGGGAGGAGGTTAGTATATGTCCTCCCATGAACGTAAAGAGAACTATGGGATAAAAAGGTTACCCCATAGTTCTCGTTTAAAGTACTGGATGCAGTACTTTTTTTTTTTTAAGTGCACACCAAAGGAATTCAGGGTTGTGAACTGTCACCACCCATCACATGGTAAATTGCCTTCTTTTGCATTTGGGCTGCACTGGAAAAATGGCTAGCGCAGCTCAAATGCAGCAGGTGTGAACGAGCCCTCAATCATAGAGGCTCAGCATCAAATGTGGATGTTATCTAGAGCAGTCCGCAGAATGAACAGCTCAGCGTACGATGTAAACAGTTTGAGAGGAGAAGGCAAGAATCTATTTTGCCCAAGCGACATTATATGCAACGATACCAGCGCCGTAATTCTGCCAGAATCTCAACACTTTTGGCAGCATCGGATCGTCAAACTCCTGAGCCGCCTGCAGCCTCCGCCATTACTCCCCTGGCCCATACATCATCACTGTATATAGAAGCCAGGGAGAGGTGGGGCTGTGAACGGTTTAGAAGTCTGATGATTCCACATCCCTGTCAGTGTCTATTTTCTATTAGAGTGGCGGTGCAGAGATCTGTACTGACAACATGTGTTCAGCTGTCAGAGAAGAAGGTGGTGACTGGTTCTCTTTAAATGGCACGGTAGTCATTGGTACTTAAAACCCCCATGATTACATATATTAGGAGGGTGAAACAAAACCAGAATTGTGCAAAAGACCTAGGGGGCTCATTCACCCCACTCTGCACACTAACAGGCCGTTCCGGCATGCAGGCTGGTGTACCTTGTATAGCAGCAGTGTCCTGTGTTGTTTTATGTACATATAGATTTATATGTGTGTATGCATTAAATAGTGTGTGTATATATATATATATATATATACACATAGTTTAATACATGTACTTGGCATCCAGCCCCCTTCCCCCACAATAAAGACAAGCCATTTTCGAATAACAATAGGAATATGTGTGACTGGTCTACAAGGACACTAAACTGGGACTAGTGTACGGCCCGGCTATGAGGGCACACCTGCAGATAATTAACATGACACACACACAAAGCCTGTCCTGCTCATCATTCATCATCCTTCTCTTCATCACAGCCGCAGACATGCAGCGCTCACAGGAAGCTCCAGACCCCTGCACATCTCTCCTTGCAGCCCCGTTACCTTCATGACACCGTCCGCGCTGCGCTCCCCTCCGAACCGATCTCTGACAGACAACCATCAGTCGCCGCCACCGCCGCTAATGTAAATTCCAGTGATAGGTGACATCACTGTCATGTGACCGGACCACGGAGTGACATCACTAAGCTACGTGACCTGCGCGCTGGAAAGAGAGGGAAGCCTGAACATGTAGGGAGAGCGTCTGTGAGGAGGGATTGTACAGCGTGTCCATGCTCTTCATAGGGCCTGGTACCCCATATTGGAGCCTGAATAGAACTGTTCCAGTAGCAGCCAGACCATTGCTGTCATTTCTAGAAACACACACGCTTACCTAATCCCTGCAGGCTTGTGTTGTTTTTTTAATTTTAATTCAGCCACCTCATTCATTCCCAGATCCTTTCACAGGATCTGTGAATTGGAGGAACCACAATTCCCATCAGTCACTGCAGCAGAGGGATATGTAGTTCTCGTTGGAATACAAGTGCCGTGATGGCACCACACTTGCAGTCCTTTCATTCTTCCTCCCGTCCATGTTACTGAATGTCAGCAGTGAGGTACGGCCATGGACGGGAGGGAGAATCCACTAAAGAAATAGCTTTGTGCTCACCATTCCTCCCCGGCTGCAAGCACTAAATCAGGACACCAGATGGAAGTGATTAAATCATATACAAAAACGTGCCGCGCTCCCTACTTAGCGTAGGATCTGTGTGTTCACAATTCGTGTATACTAAAGTGACTGCAATAAATAGATACCGTAACAATTATCTACCATAAATCCAGCAATATCGGTGTTTTGGGCCCATTCCACATGAGATTAAACGTCATCCGACCTTAGGTCCCACGTGGCGGATTTCGTTGTTTGTTTTTCATTCCAAATGGATCCCTCCGTCTCCCTCCCCAATCATAGGAAATCCCTGTTTCCTCCCTGGCCTTCAAGATCCCGCCTTTCTTCGGCTAGGGAGAGACGACAATTTTCTGGCCTCTCACTTCATCGGTGCTTCTCGGTGTCCTTCGCTGACAGATATGGTATAAAATATTGACTATGTGGTACAGGACCCCCATGTGCATAAGATTTTCCCGGAATTCCCAGATTAATGCTGGTGCTGTGGCTCCTCATGCTGCACATTATGCGATACAGAATGTTTGGTCTCAGGTGCGCAGCATCACTCAGCGGACAGTGAGGACGGACTGTGAAGTTCCATTGGATCCATCCTTTTATTCACAACTGTTCCTCACTTAAAGGATATCGGCGCTCGGTGATCATTCACTTGGTGAATGCTGCTCGGGCGTGTGTTCCTGCTCTATGGAAAAATACTTCTCCCCCTGCTATTAGGATGTGGTTTCACAGAATCAAAGACACTTCCTCCAGGTTTAATGCAACATGAGTTCCTTCTCTCGTATTAATATCGCACTCTTATGGGCACTGATTGAGCTTTTGTCTTCTTACCTGACATCTTCCCTTATGTTACCTAGCTATTACTGGCTTCTGTTGTCCCATCCCCCCCTTTTTTCTATTTTCTCCGGTTTTTCTCCCTTCTTTTGTGTTCCACAGGGCTTATGGGTCTTCTACTTAGTCACATAGTTTATTTTTGCTATGCTGATTCTTTTGTGATACATAGGGGGGAATTGATCAAAACTGGAGCAGACAGTCTGGAGCAGTTTCCCATGGCAACCAATCAGCTTCTCTCTTCAGTTTGCTCAGGTATGATTTGAAAATGAGACAGAGAAGCTGATTGGTTGCAGTGCTAATCTGCTCCAGATTTTGTCTGCTCCAGTTGTGATAAATTCCCCCCATAGTGTTTTGTTCCTATACGCCTTATTCCTGTAATGTTTCATCACTGTACATTGCCCGAGTGCTTTCTTTTTCTTCTGTATTTTAATTAAAATGTTTCTGCTTAAATAAAGAATTTAAAAAAACAAATCCAGCAATATAAAATCCACCCTGGATAAAGTCACACCTTTGACGCAATGTATGTAGGGTGGAGCTGGGAAGCACGGTGCATGGCTGACGGAGTTCACAGTATTGAGAAGCGTATAACCAATTTTGATGCAATTTGTTTTTAATCTACATGTGAATTTGAATAAAGCGCTTTTTTTTTTGCATCTTCCTCTAGCATCTTCCTCCGTACTGTGAATGCGGAATGTGTAATACATCACTTCCGCATTCACCCGTCAGTCATCTGGCTGCTATAGCCAGAGAAAAGAAGCCGATGAAGCAGATCTGTGCTTCAGCAGCTTCTTTGGGGGTCCACAGGTGACATTAGGGGTCCTAGAGACCCCCAATGTATTCATAAAGAGAACCTGTCAGTGTGCCTTTGCTATTATATAGGGGGATTGTTATCCCCCTATGTGATAGCAATAACAATAAGTGTAAAAAAAAAAAGTCCCATATAAAAAAAAAAAAAAACCCAAAATGTTTAAGTCCCCCACCCCCACGTTTACGCACATATAAACGTAAATACGCATTCGATGCGCCAGCGTATGAACATGGCAATTGCGCTACACATTACATATCGCCGCAAACGTCGCAGTGAGAGCAATTTTAGGGCCATCAATCACTGATAACACTAAACTGATAGCACTAAAAACTTTTAAAGCGTCGCCTATGGCCAATTTTGGGTATTGTAGTTTTTAGACAAATTGCACAATTTTAGGGCTTGATATGTTTGGTGTCTATTTACCCGACAAGATCCCGTGTTTTATATTTTAGCAAAAAGTTGGGTAATGATAAATGTTTTATCATTTAATTTAGGGGAAATTTTCGGTAATTTTTCCTTAATATATTAAAAAATAAAAGTGCTGTGGTGATTAAATACCACCAAAAGAAAGCTCTATCTGTCCCCAAAAAAGGGTGTAAAATTCATTTCAGTACAGCGCTGCATGACGGAATAAACGTCAGTCAAAGTACCGCAGCGCTGAATACTGAAAAATGGCCTGGACAGGAAGGGGGTTTAAAACAGCAGACTTCAAGTGGTTAAAACCCATAGTGCACCCTATAAGTTCTCCATGTTCTCTCCTATAACCAACAGTGCACCCCATAGGTTCCCCATGTGTCCTATACCAAACAGTGCACCCTATAAGTTCTCCATGTTCTCTCCTATAACCAACAGTGCACCCCATAGGTTCCCCATGTGTCCTATACCAAACAGTGCACCCTATAAGTTCTCCATGTTCTCTCCTATAACCAACAGTGCACCCCATAGGTTCCCCATGTGTCCTTTACCCAACAGTGCACCCCATAGGTTCCCCAAGTGTCCTATAACCAACAATGCACCACATAGGTTCCCCAAGTGTCCTATAACCAACAGTGCACCCCATAGGTTCCCCATGTTTCCTATAACCAACAGTGCACCCCATGTGTCCTATACCCAACAGTGCACACCATAGGTTCCCCATGTGTCCTATACCAAACAGTGCACCCTATAAGTTCTCCATGTTCTCTCCTATAACCAACAGTGCACCCCATAGGTTCCCCATGTGTCCTATACCAAACAGTGCACCCTATAAGTTCTCCATGTTCTCTCCTATAACCAACAGTGCACCCCATAGGTTCCCCATGTGTCCTTTACCCAACAGTGCACCCCATAGGTTCCCCAAGTGTCCTATAACCAACAATGCACCACATAGGTTCCCCAAGTGTCCTATAACCAACAGTGCACCCCATAGGTTCCCCATGTTTCCTATAACCAACAGTGCACCCCATGTGTCCTATACCCAACAGTGCATCCCATAGGTTCCCCATGTGTCCTATACCCAACAGCGCACCCCATGTGTCCTATACCCAATAGTGCACCTCATAGGTTCCCCATGTGTCCTATACCCAACAGTGCACCCCATAGGTTCCCCATGTGTCCTATAACCAACAGTGCGCTCTCTTACGCCCTGCAGTGCAACCTAAACACCCACTTTGCATCCCATTCACTCTCCCGCACCCCCACAGTGGACCTTTTGCTCTCACCTGCATCCCAACAGGGCATCCAATGCACTCAGCTGCGCCTTATGTTCTTCCATGCATCCCACATGACACCTCGTGTCTCCCCCTGAACCCCATTTTTATGACACATCATCTCTTCGTGCGTGTTACTCTACTAATCCACCACATACATAGCACTGCCACATCCTTCCGTCACTCTAGATTACACCGTGACGAAGAAGCTCCACCCTTCCATGTGACCATCACATGACATCTGATGTCCCGCCCCTCTGCCAAACAACTCCATTCTATCGTCTTCCGTGTTCCTATTGGCCACTGTTCTGACGCGCGTTGTTGCAAAGCCGTAACGTTGTGTACGATAGATAGGCGGTGTGGTTGCCGGTGTTCCTGTGTTAGAAATGGCCAGCGTTCACGAGAGCTTGTACTTCAATCCTATGATGACCAATGGAGTGGTACATGCCAATGTGTTTGGCATTAAAGACTGGGTGACCCCGTACAAGATCTCAGTGCTTGTACTACTGAGCGAGATGACGAAGAACATGGAGATCAGTATGCTGGAGAAGAGGCGTCTGAATAAACACATCCTGCCACTTCTCCAGGTTAGTGAACCCATGGGAGTCCTCCTTCCATTCTATACATTAGACTGGGCTACAAGTATTACTGACCATCCAGGGACTCCCTTTTTATTTCAAATCATTGTAGGTGGACAATTGTGTTTTCATTAGGGGCGGGGCATTCATTTCTAATGGGCGTGTCTACAAGAGGCATTGGTATCATTTCTATATTGGTCCAGCTTGGCCCCCTGTAAGTATACATATCATATACTTGATCGGCCCACAGGGAACTGTAAAGCACTCTGTTAGCCAGAGTTATTACAATGCTGGCCGTGATCTTCCTAAGTATTGCTTCTCTGCCTTTTGGCTAAGATCAAGTGTAGTATATGTTCTTATCAGTTGTTGGAGGGGAGAGGATGCTGCCACCCGATGGGAGAACATTCTAGTACCCTCTGACGTAATGGTGGGTGTCGGAGGACGGTTCGGTCCACTGCTAGTTGCGTCAGGCCCTGATGTACGGGTAAACCCTAGACAGTGGGAGGACCCCCGACGGCACTACCTCCTGATGTGAGCGGAGAACCACGGGGTCTGGCCTGAGGGTTCGGGGGCGGCAGAAGCCCGTGGTGTTGTGCCCCCTGGGGGTGGTGT